TTATAATAATGATAATATTCATTTTCAGGACAAAAGGGAATATTTTGTGTATATTAGATAATTTACACTATATTTTCATTGATAATTACTGATCAGTTTAGTAAGGGAATCAAGTGACTGAAAAATGAGTGTGGTCAAAGAAAGTAGAAAGTTGGGTCAAACTTGAAAATCTAAATTGATCAAAGTTTTGCAGAATCACATGGCCTGTACGAAAGGTAAATTATATAAAGATAAAATTAAAACAATACAATGCATCTTCCACACATTAATATTTATTCTAAGGTAGTAGTATAAATTTGTGAGAGGGCATGTGATTTGGAATAATTGCATCTGAAAGGGAAGGACCACATGACACCTTTGAAAGAAATATTGCTAATACACTTCTTTTTTTTGGTCAAAATTTATTAAAATGATATAAGCTTCATTGGTTACTTCTGGAAGTTTTTTGTTTTTTTTTAAAAAAAAGAAAACCTAGATTCGGACAATATTAAATATTTAAGTAAGAAATTTGAGTTTTGACTTGTTATCCCTTCCACACAGTATGAAAGAAATAGGTTAAACTGAATACATGAATAATCCCTTACATGAACAGTGTTCTGCTATAATTGAATACATTAAATTAAACATTGAATAAAAAACACTTGCGTCTAAAATTTTAAATTTCTTTTGACGCATTGTTTAAAGGAATCATACGTAAGAGACATATTTGATGGAATATTTTCAACCGCCTATTACATAATAATCACATAAATATTATACTACCTTCTTAAGTTATAAATATTAACATAAATTAGACCATATTTGAACTTTTGAAGGAGTTTGGCAAATAATTGCATGAGTAAGGTTTTGTAAAGTTTTACCTACTAGCTAACTTGACTCGTTATCAAAACTCAATGAAGGCCCAACATTAAATTAGCATGTTAACAGTGGCCCAATGGCCAACCAATTTTACTTGGGCCACCCTCTAAACCGAATGAACGTTTTTGGTAAAATTACAGAAATCCCGCCGATTAGATTACTTATTATCATTATCCCCTATAAGTTTTACAAATTTCCAAAATAACTCATTTTTCGCGCATCAGATTAGTGTGTCTCAATTTTTGTAATCATAAACTTTTACGAGATAGATTGTAATTTTACCGTATGTGATTTCTGTAATTTGCCCTAACATTTTTTAGGGCAAACCACCTAGCTTTCTGTTGCTCTTTTATGTTTTTTCTGAAAAGAATTAACCCCATAACTATTTCTTTATGGTTCAATTAGAACCAGAGTCCAACTTTTTAGGAGATTCTTATGTTAGGTCCTAAGAAACAAAAAATCGCTCTTCATCTCAAAATTACTTATTCCTCCATTAAATTAGATAATAGTAGTTAAATATCATAATAATATATTCAATATATTAATGAAATATGAAAAATGTCGAATGCGCGCACCACCTTTTGTTTTCGAGAGTTTTCGGCTCAATAGATATATACTTGTATTTGTTCAAGTGTTAGAATTAAATTTAAGATAATGGAAAGTGAAAATCACCCAACCAGGAAAGTTGAACAAAACTTAAAGCATTTTAACTACGAAAAGTATTAGCACCCATATTTTGTATGTACACATGCACCTCCTAGTAATTACCACTAGTACTAGTAACAAAATAACAAAACGTTTAATTGGCTAAACAAAAATTAAACCAGCCAATTAGTGGGGACTTTGGAGTTAAACATCGGATTAGGGGGCAGCTATATACATAATGCACTAATCTATATAAGCATTAATTAATTAAATAACTAAGCAAAAGTCCCTTGAGTACATCTAGGTTGCATGGCGAAGAAAAGTTCAATTTCAGGCGCTTGAAAATACCCATTTTCCGGTGGCTTCCTTTTATCTCCACCGCAGTCGTACGTCCGCTTCTTCCTCGGCGGCGGAGGTGGTCCCACCATCGCCGGAATTTGACAATCATCGCGTTTTGGCGTCGAACATCCTTCTTCTTCTTCTACTACTACTACTTCCATCATCGTAACATCCTCGTACTCTTTTATCTCCATTTTGTTATACTGAATATTTTTTTGAAGTATTTGTCATTATTTTATACTAAAGAGTTGTCGAATGAATATGAAAAACGTGTGAAACAAGTGTCGTATATAAAGGTAGCGTACAGTTCAATTTTTAAAAGGCAAGTCTGGAAGGTGCTATTGAGAAGTAGAAAAGTTTGTGGTTCGTGGACAGCTAAGTAGGGTTTCATGTCCACGTGTGGCCACCACAGAACTTTCTGGGTTGACGTGGATGAAGACATACGTGGCCCTTTCTGAGCCGTTTAACACAAAAAGGAGGATGTTTTTTTGGGCGGGAAGATCAAGGCATTGTTTGGATTTTAATTTGAGACACTAAAGTAGACAGTGTTCAGAGTTGAAAATACAACCTTCAACCGTTTGAATTGACTTAAAAAAAATAGTTTTTAAGTCAAAAAAAAAAAAATCAAATTTAAATGTCTTTAAGTTAAAAAATAAAAAGTAGGGTGAATCCTACTTTTGATTTTTGACTTATTTTAAGTAATTTTTTGACCTTGTCAAAATACTTTCTAACTTATTTTAAGTTATTTTTTATATTTGTCACACACTTTCAAGAGTAAAAATTGGCGTAAAAGTAGGTTTGATCAACTTTTAAATCAATCCAAAAACACCCTCTAAATGTTGCCAAAAAAGAAAATGAGTCATTCTTTTTTAAATAGACAAAAAAGAAAAATAGGTCATTCTGTTTTAAATAGAGGAAGTAATTTTTTTTTTGCCAACTTATGTAATATATTTTAATTTAATTGAGTTTAATAGGGAAAGATTTTTAAGATTTATGATTTAAAATAAGTCATAAATATTTTCTTTTTTTACCCTTCCTAGGAGCTCCCACCCCTTTTGCTCCTTTGGTGACTCAAACTCGCAATCTTAGGTTTAAAAGTGAAGGGTGCAAGTCATAAATGTTTGTGTGATCATAAAAGCACTTATTTTGTGGAGGGAAATATATTTTGTTGAAAAATTGAAGTGATTGGCTAATCAGTAAAACTATTTTTAGATAGAAGCAGAAGCAACTTTTCGATTAAATCTAGCCTGAAATCAGCCCAATATAATGGGCTATATATTTTTTACCTCTTAACCCGAAATGGGAATATGAACTGTTTACAGGCCCACTTAAGATCCATAATCTCATCTGTATCAAACTGTTATAAGCCCAGATTCTTTCTTTATGTTGTAAATCCAGTTTCCTATTGAAAAGTCGCGATGTTAGTAAAAAGCAAAAATATCGTTGAACGACATAATATACATCAATACTATAACATTTTCTGATTTTTTTTTCACTACTATTAACACATTACTATTGAATGCACTCAGATTAGTTTTTTCATGAATCCAAATCAATTAACGTGCCTCATAGTTTGTATGATTCCTTTTTAATGAAAAATATCTAAATTTTGAATTTTTTATTTATAAAGAGGGAATTATTTTTTCTTTCGTAAATGAAAAGGAAAAATGTAACAATCTGGCAGCTTAAATTAACAAAACATTCTAATACACCAGTACATGATTGTCGTCCTCGTGTCATAGGCAGTAGGGTATTAAGTCTCGCAACGAGTGCAACCTGGTGCTTTGAGGTTTTGTTGGATCTTCTACAAAATTAATCATCAACTTAAATTTTCCTAGCAAGACAAAACGAAGGGTTGTTATAAATGTCTTTCCTTTTCCTTTTAACAAACAAACAAAACGTCGAAAATTTACAAGGCTCCTAGTCAATAGTATTCAATATCCAACAAAGTTGACGGCATGATTAATAGAAATTCAAATAGTTGAATATTTAAATTATGTTATTGTTTAATTAGAACTTTCTCTTTTCCTGATCAAAATCAAGAAATGAATCACTCTAATTTATTCACATTTTAAATTAAGGAGATAAACGTGAAGTATTTAAAACATTAAAATATAAAACGTATCGTTGAAGAATAATTAAGCCGTGTGAAAACGCGGATTTTTTGTATTAAAAGAAGGGTCTTGCCATGTGGCTGAAGACTGAATGTGAGAATTCATTAATGATATAGGAATTTGATGGTGGGTGGATATAACGTGTTGTACTAATAAGTATACCCATTAATAGTTTTAAAATATCTCCTTTTTTTCTTTTTAGAGGGAGAGGGTGGTTGATGATTAGTCGGTTTTTATGTTGCTAAATACTAGTTATTTAATTTTATGAAATATGGCACAAGTAGAAAATTAAATTGAAAAGGTGAAAAAAAAATTAAATTGAAAATGTACTCTCCGTTCATTTTACTTGTTACACACTTGACACACCTATTAAGAAAATAATTAGTGATGTGATATAGAGTTTTTACCAAACTATTTCCTATTAAATGATGTGTTGAAAAAGTAGCCCTAGACAGATCATTGCTAAGAGGAGGGAGAATGAGGACCGTCGGATCAAGGGCATGAAGGCTATAACATAGAGTTGGAGGCCTTATTTCTCGGACATTCAGAAAATCCAAATAAGTATTTAATGCTGAGGGTAAAACATGAGAAAAAAATATTTTCTTAATATGTTAAAAGTGACAAGTAAAAATGAAAATCTATTTTAAAAATAAGTGATAAGTAAAAGTAAATGGAGGGAGTATTAAGAAAAGAGAAAGACATCCCATTGTCAGGTATCCGATTGAAGTCGATTAAATTTAAATTTACGCTCTCTAACAAAGACGATTCCATACCTAGTAAACTTGAATCTGAAATTTATAATTAAGGATAAAAAAATACTTATCAATTCATTACAACCGTTCGGATACTTTAGTTGACAGCTTCCTGTCAAATTGAGAAATCAGATACTTATGTGGTTCGAGAAAAGGGAAGAAAAAGATCAAATATTTGAAACAATTGGTCAGAATTGTAGACGTAGGACCCAAGACTTTATTCTTCGGCCCATCTCCCCCCTACTTTATGGAACAACAAAGTAAGTCTTTTTTTCTTCAATATCTTCATTTCAAAGTTTCTGCTATAAATAGCTTTGCACTCTTTCATTGTCTTCCACCTTTATTTTCCAGCCTTTCTTTTTCTTATAGTAATCCAGAAAACTGCTCAAAGTAACTTCCCACATTCTCCTAGAGAGATCTGGTAATGAATCTCTCTTTTTATTAAATTGGGTTCTCCATTTTTATGATTTTGTTGCAGTTTTATGTGTTGTATTCTTGATTGTACTTGAAAGGTTGTGTTTTTATTAATTCTTTCAAGTTTCAGTAATGTTGTCTTTGTAGTCGTCTTCTCCAAATGGGTACTCCTACTTTTTGGGACTTAAGTTGTAGTTTTAGGAGTATTCTTGTTTGTTTTTGCCAAGATTGTATTTTTCATCTTTTTTTGTTTGTTTGTTCATCTTCCCCTCTCTTTTGTTAAAGTAATGTGATTGAATGCCTTGTCCCTTTGAATCATTGTGAAGTAAAGGTTCAGTTTTTATAAGGATTTATCTTCTTCCTGGTTTGTTCCTGCCCTTTTTTATTTTAGATGAATAAACTTCCCAATATTGTGGAGATAGTATGTTAAAGAGGAATATACTGGTTGCCCTGTTTGATTGTTTCCTCTGGTATGATTTTCTCTTATTTCTCAAAGATCAAGATTGAATTTTGATCAACAGCTAATGATATCCAAGTTTATTGAGGTTCCTGGTAGATATTGAGTTCTTGTCATGGTGTATTTCCTTTTCATACCTACTTTGATTTGTTGTACTCCGTAGGTGTAAGGTCTGCGAACACTCTACCTCCCCTGACCCCACATGTTTGATTTCACTAGGTATGTTGTTGTTTGAGTTTTTGAGTCTTTCCAAGAAAATTTCATTTCTTATCTGCTAATTAAGCAGTTTTAAACTAATTTCTCTTATGAAGCTGGAAAAACCATGTTTGATGTTTTATATCTTCTCCTTTATTAACTGGACATTTTTAGTCTCCCATATGTTGATCTGCGTATGATATTGATATTAGTGAGTCAATCACCTTAGAACCAGTACCATAGACGTTTCTTTTGCAGTCAATGTTGTATTCCTCTCTGTCGTACTGTGGGAGAAAATTCCTATTAGAGGAGCTTAAGGCATGTTTCTATTTTCTTCTTTCAATTGTTGTGGAGGGAACAAGTATTATCAGTGCGATATGTCACTCTCTAACTAGCCTTATCATCTATACTTAAGGAGAATTTCTATCACAGTTATATCTAATTTGTGAGCCAAATTCTAATTTTGATGTTTATATTGTTTAAGACCCTTTAACAAAATGGAGCATGAAGACAGCTACAAGGGAGTTTCAGAGCCAAAATACGACTGCCTTCTTTTTGGTAAGGCTTTATATCTGTTATGCGTTCTCTTTCCAAAGGAAGAATGGCTTGTGTATTATTCCTAAAAATGCTTGTATTTCAATTTGCAGATGTTGATGATACACTTTATCCACTGAGCTCTGGTATTTCAGCACAATGCACGAAAAATATCATTGGTAATTTTACAGTTCTCTTTAATTTGATATCTCCTCATATAATTGCTTCCTAGATAAATGTTTATTGGATCGAATAATCAATAATCTTCCCCATTGTTGCAACTTTTAGATTATATGATTGAAAAGCTTGGCATTGATGAGACTAAAGTTCCAGAAATGTGTATAAGGTTATATAAGGAGTACGGAACAACCATGGCTGGTCTCAGGGTAAGGTTATAGCTTGTGTAAATTGACTATGAATAGTTAGTCTCGGTTGTTCATATGCTAAACTTAGCATTCAATTTTTTCAGGCCATTGGTTACGACTTTGATTATGACGACTACCATAGGTACCACTTCTTCTCTATGTTTCCTTACACGTCTTTTATACTGTTTTTAAATGACAAGTACCTTATCAAATCCTCATTGACAGTTTTGTACATGGGAGATTACCTTATGAACTTTTAAAGCATGACCATGTTCTGAGGAATCTTTTGCATAGCTTGCCTGTTCGGAAAGTTGTAAGTTACACATACTTCTTCCATAGCACTACAAATAAACAAGTACCTTCATGATCGTATACACTTTGTATGACAATGTTGGTGTAATGTGTATATCTGTTGTGATTGAAACAGATATTTTCAAATGCAAATGAAGCCCATGTGGCAAAAGTTCTTAGCAGGCTCGGATTAGAGGACTGCTTTGATGATATTGTATGCTTTGAGACTGTGAATCCTACCAACAACGGCAGTGTACAAGACAACAACAATGGTGGTGAGTCTGTTGTCAAATCTAATTCCATCTCTCTCTCGAGACATTACAAATATAGTAACTAATACTAGATACTTCTTCTCCTTCCAGTATCCCCTAGGTCTCTTATTGTTTGCAAACCCTTTGAAGAAGCCTATGAACAAGCCTTTAAAATAGCCAATATTAACCCTCAGAAGACGGTATGTAATTATCCTTGATTTCTGCATTTCCATCTTGTACCAATTTACCTGAATTCTAACTTAATACTTTTTATCTTTATGCTTTCCTCAGCTGTTCTTTGATGACTCTGTCCGTAACCTTCAGACTGCTAAGCTCACAGGCCTTCATACTGTGTGGGTAAGTTGAATTACTAACTTTTGGAGTTACAGAGAGAAAAAGAATCTCATTTTCATCCTCCTTAATTCTTACTAATATGCATATGAACTTCGCTTATTTGGTATAGGTGGGTGCCTCCCATAGAACAGAAGGCATAGATTATGCACTAGAAAGCATTCATAACATGAAGGAAGCATTACCGGAGTTATGGGAAGATGTTAAACCAGACATTCGCTATTCGGAAAAGACTGCAATTGAAGTGAGAGCTTAGTTGTGTAATCTCACAATAAAGACAACCACATAGTTGTAGTTATTTATTTATTGCTTTCTCTTTTTTCTTTTCTAGTTTCCTCTTTTGCCTGTTAACCTGAATAACAATTGTTACATTGATTTCACAGTCCCTAGCTGTATTATTATTGCTTAGTGGATGTGAAATTTCTCATGTGACTAGTTGTAAAAACTTCTCTTAGAAGTAAATGTTGGCATGTGAAGTCGATGATGACTGCTGAAACAAGTTTGAATATTAAGTATTTGGTTGTGCCATGACTTTTGGTGCAACCACCTTTCATCTTCAATGTCTAGCTCTGCTTTATTTATTTATTTTTCTTTTCTTGTTGAGTTGTCTTTCAAAAGTTGAGGTCGAAGGGTTTATTTCGTCTGTTAATAGCATAGCGATGATTGTCATTCAAACTTGGGACTGTGCAGTACACCTTGTTAAAGCCTCAGCATGTTGAAAACCATATTGGTTTTAGTGTATTTTCCAGATATGGGAGGACTGATGAGTGATGAGTATCGTTTTGTTGAAGAATTCTTTTGTGCTTTTTTCTCTTTGTTCTTACCCTCTAAGAATCCCAGAGAGTACAGATATACAACAGAGCAGCATTAAAGAACACCTGTAATGAAATTAAGGTTGCAAATGCCACTGATATGGTTGAACAACAGAGGATTCCACAACTACAAGCCCATGAGACAATGCAAAAGTGGTTTCCATGAACCTCTATTGTTGCTGGGAATGTTGGGGAAGTTCACAAGCTTACAGCTTTATGAACTAAATGGTGTGAATGCATCGAACTATTTGTTCTTGTTAAAGAAACATGTAGTTCTATCCCCTTGAGAATTGTTGGTGCACTCAAAAACAAGTAATTGAAATAATGGAGTAAACAAGGATTCAATAGTCAAGAAGGTCACCTTACACCAATGAATGTGTCAGGCTTAATCAAAGATGACAGAGAAGAAAAAGATGTGCAAGAACCCAAAGGGAGACCATTTAAGTGCCAGTAGCCAGTACACATGATAAAATCAAATAGTTCAGTTTGTTAAAGTATAATTGGACTTCTGAATGATCAATTATCAACAGTTTTCCAACAGGAGAGAGCATATATAACTCTGCCTTTCCATCCCTGCATCATCCAGTAACCATCTTCATCCACCAGAAAGTCCTTATGGTATCGCCGTTGCACCTTGGCCCTCACTCCTTTAACTATGTCCTGGTCTAATGGAAGCTGCCTAAATCCTGCTCTCTGGTTTCTCAACTGCCACTGCTTATATGGTTCTGGCCTTTCAACTCTTGCAGTACCTTCACAATGTTCATAATTTCCTTCCCGAAATTCACTTTCTCAAACAGCACTCTCTCTTGATTTTCACGCGGTACAGTTGCCTCCATCATGTCAAACAGAGAAGAGAAGTGGAATAGTGCTTCTTTAAATCGAGTTACAAAGAAAGTTGAGTTATATGCCCCGTTAACAATTCCATGAAGGAAAACATCAGGCTTTATTTGCTTAATCAATCTTATCACATCATCCCTTAGACTGTTTTCGTATACTGTTTCATCAGGCACATTTATGAGCCTGTATAAGCAATTAATAACAAGCATCTCATCTCTGTTTATCTTGAGATCCTCCAGCTGTATAGAATCCCATTTCTTAGCTATAGCATTATACTCAAAAGGGACATTAAATCTCTTGCAATACTTTGCTAGTCGATGACCTGTCTCCTCAACTCTCTCTGCTTGTCTGAATCCAGGTTGTGGAAAATCAATTCCTGTGACGCGAGGTTTAGGAGGTCCTGATGGCCTAAGGGAAATTCCCTGAATAAAACATGGCCATTGGAAACCATACAGAATGCCAAAATCAATAATGTGTATACTTGTCGCTTCCCTTGTCAGCATCCCAATTGACTTGTTAGCAAATATGTTAGACATCTTCCTGAATGGGCATGCTGTAACATACACCTGAAACAAAGGCGAATTTAGGATCTAAAGTATGTGAGTTCAGTAAGACAGTATTGTTCTCTTTGCAAAAGCTGTATACAGTTCTATTCCAGTGCCAGCCAAACGAGCCTCGAGGGCATCAGCAAAGTAGTGTGCCATTCTTTCTGTTGCTTCACCATATGGAGAACAGTGTAGCCTAATCAGCTTCAGCTTATCATGGGCAATCCTAGTATCATAATTTGCCATAGCTTGTGCACATTGAGTTAATAGACTCCACAAATCTACTACTCGTTTTGGCATTCTTGATTCAACATACGATGGCTTATAAGGTAGTTGTTCCTCTATTTAACCATCAGTATTCTGACAACATGGCGGATCACTATAAAATCCAGGATTCATGGAAGAACAAAGTAGTGTTGTATCATACAACTCTGTCTGATCTAATCCTTCTGAACAACTGGCTAAATGTTTACTACTTGTTGGCCCTTCTACAGAGTCACTAAAATCTTCATAACGTCGAAGGTATTTTTGACCCTTTTCCCGTACAATAATTCACACAAGTATGTTCAATTAATTGTTGGCCTGCAGAAAGGACATCATAAAAGGATTTCTCAGTAGCTTGTAGAGCTAATGAATCTTGAAGCATACAAGGCCTATTCTCTAAGTCTTCCTCTTCTTCCATTAGCATCTGATTAATGTAATTAAGGACTCCATCAAAGTAATCAAATGCCAGAGATGAGTGTTTATTCGATTCCATTTCAAGAATCAAAGAAGTTTATAAAAATCATCTAATTAGCAGTACAAGAAACAAATAAAAATCCATCTAATCACCTTATTGTTATGTGGATGTCATAGTTTTAGACAATTTGTCCGTTTGTTTGTTTCAGACAAATGATGAATAGTAAGTACTCTTGTTTTGAAGCCTCACTTCCTAGGAAACAGAGGCAGAAAAGCCCAAGTACACTTGGGTTGAACGTAGCAGCCTAAGTAGTAGTACCGGAATCAGTATTTTTACTAAGTGATTTGAAATATGAAAAAGTAAATATACAAAGAAATAGAAGAAATTCAACATCTATTATATATATATATATATAGATATATATATATATATATATATAATAGATGTTGAATTTCTTCTTATCTTTTGTATATTTACTTTTTCATATTTCAAATCACTTAGTAAAAATACTGATTCCGGTACTACTACTTAGGCTGCTACGTTCAACCCAAGTGTACTTGGGCTTTTCTGCCTCTGTTTCCTAGGAAACAGAGGCAGAAAAGCCCAAGTACACTTGGGTTGAACGTAGCAGCCTAAGTAGTAGTACCGGAATCAGTATTTTTACTAAGTGATTTGAAATATGAAAAAGTAATATACAAAGAAATAGAAAAAAAAAAACATATATTATATATATATATATATATATATCTATATATATATATATATAATATATGTTGTATTTTTTCTATTTCTTTGTATATTACTTTTTCATATTTCAAATCACTTAGTAAAAATACTGATTCCGGTACTACTACTTAGGCTGCTACGTTCAACCCAAGTGTACTTGGGCTTTTCTGCCTCTGTTTCCTAGGAAACAGAGGCAGAAAAGCCCAAGTACACTTGGGTTGAACGTAGCAGCCTAAGTAGTAGTACCGGAATCAGTATTTTTACTAAGTGATTTTGAAATATGAAAAAGTAAATATACAAAGAAATAGAGAAATTCAACATCTATTATATATATATATATATAGATATATATATATATATATAAACAGTGTAATTCTCTGCCGAAGGGATGTGAATGAACCCCTCCTCCTGCATGGCTCCGCCAGTACATATAACCTAAATACCTTTGAATGACAAATGTCATCGAACCGTCATACCACTTGTTGACTATTCAAAGTAACCAATTATTCGGTTTTATTAAGGATACAGAATCAAATATCGAAACGATACATTTTGATTTTGACGTGGATTGAAGTTTCTAATGGAAACACCCTGAATTGAAGTGCCAAATAAAAATTGAGACCGTAAGTTTAAAAGTCTTGACTATATATTTGGCCTACAATTGTTGACACATCTATTTTGGGATGTAATGATTTCAGAATTGCGTTATTGCTTGGACCATATAGATAGAAAATGACAAGCACAAAACAAAAGACGACATACGATGTAAGAAGACAGTATTACACTGTACAAACCAATTATTAAAAAAAAACAAGTATGTTTTCTAATCCAAACGTCATTCTATGTCAAGCTAAATTGACAAAAACTATAGCAACAATCAAATTATGGACCAGCTTCGTTCCCCCTCCAACAACTAAAATCTCCTGGTTTACCGGCCTACAAATCCAAAATAAAAATGTTGTCAATGAAAATATTTGAATTAAGCTGGTGACACCATTTAATAATTTAGCTTTTTATTTGTGAATACAAAATAATTTTTAATTTTTTTTAAAAAATAATTTAAACTTACAAGGACCAGATTTCCTTACCTCTAATCCATGTTACGCTCCTTATAAAGGTATCAATTAAAGGTTTAAAAACTATATTATAAAATGAAATAAATAATCCCTATATTCTTGAAGTTAGTGTTGGGACAAATATTAGCAAAAAAGTGTCTCAGAATCAATGACAGTATCCTTTTACTGACATTATCTTTTCTGACTTTTTAAAAGCATATTCACATGTCTTTTTAAAAGCATATCCTACAAGCTCCCACCCTCGAATCGAAGTTGCTCACCACTTGAGCAACCCCTCGACTCATGTTATATATTAAATAAACCAACAAAAGAAAAGAAAACGAATTGAACTGCAAAGAGAAACAGAGTTGTAATATCAAAGATTAGCAAGACTAATCCCTTCTAGGGCCAGCGTTATGTACATATAATAGCTAAAGAACACATCGTTTTTGGCTAACATAACAGCATCCCTATGAACTAAAAGTTTGACTAACAAACATGTTTCTGATACTTCTATGCTGGCACCCAACATGAGCTAGCGCATACTACCCGGCCTTTCCAACCCTGTAACATCCATTTACCATCCTCATTAAACACAAAATCGCGGTGGTATCCAGCCTTTACCTTGCACCTTAACTTCTGCACGAGTTGTTGGTTCAACGGAAGAATCTTGAATCCAGCCCTCATATTGCGGACCTGCCATTGCTTGTATGTCTCAGGCCTCTCAACTCTCTCGGAACCCTCACAAGCAATGACATTCATTGCCTCGCGTCTGTAAAATTCTTGTTCAAAATGCAACCTCTGCTGATCATCACGGGGTAAGGTAGCATCAAACATGTCAAAGAGAGTTGAGTAATGGAAGAGGGCCTCCCTGAAGCGAGTGACAAAGAAGGGCGCACTATAAGATCCGTTGATTACAGCTTGCACGAAGATATCCGGATTCATCTTTCTAATTAAGCCCAGAACTGCATCCCTTGGACTATCCAACATCACTGTCTCATCCAACAGGTTCTTAAAACGAAAAAGACAGTTCACAGCAACAGTCTCACCACTTACAAGTTTCAAGTCCTCAAGTTTGATGTTCTCCCAATTCTGTGTTGCTATGGCATTATATTCAAATGGTACTTTAAAGCGCTCACAATATTTTGCCAAGCGGCTCCCTGTCTGTTCTAAGCTTTCTGCTGGCCTGAAGCCAGGTTGGGGAAGGTCTATGCCAGTAATGCGAAGCTTTGGAGGCCCATCAGGTATCTCTGAGAGCAGCTGGATGAGTATTGGCCACTGGAAACCATATAGTATACCAAAATCTATGAGATGCAATGTCCTGGCATTCGATGCTGTGTGGAAGATCATTTTATTCGCAAAGAATATTGATATTTTCTTGAACGGGCATGCCGAAAGATAAACCTGGTATGCTTTCAATTTCTCAGCAGCTGTAATCTTTTTAGGAGCAAGGGCGGCATATAGTTGAGTGCCAGTGCCAGCCAACCGGGCTTCAAGGCCATCAGCAAATACACTGGCCAGCCTTTGGTATGCATCACCAATGGAAAAACAATGCTGCCTGATCTGCTTTAGCTGTTCATATGCTGTCCTGCGATCGTCAGCAGCAACAGACTGTGCACAGCTAACTAAGAGAGTCCTTAGATCCACAGCTTCATTTTTAGTTCCTTGTTTCTTAGCACGAGTTTTTCCACCATTTGATCCATGTGCTTGTCCATTCTGATCTAAACTATTGTCTACTGGCATTTCAGACTTGACATCACCACATATTGTCTCACCTTTATCTGTACAAAGCAGAACCCTGTCAAACATCTCTGATAACTCAGCCTCCTCCTCCACATATATTGCTGAATGTTTGTTGCTCCTTTCATCTTCAAAATCACTGTCCTCAGGATACTGATGTTTTCTTCCTTTAGTGCCATTAGGAGAGTGATTCCTCTCATCCTTCTCTACCTTGACCACAGCCTCTTTGGTCACTTCTTCCACCTTTGGAGGAAAGGTATATTTATCCAAATCAACAACAAATTGACTAACATTTGGAAGGAATTTATTAGCTTCCTCCACCCCTCTCTTGAACTGTAAGATAGACTCGCTATCAGTAAACATGTTTGAAAGAGCATTAGGATTTAAAAAAGAGTCCATATGGACATTCAAGTTGTTGATGTTGTTTAAAGAACCATGAGACCTCTCTGAGTTACTCTGCATCAAAGGTTGGATGGAATACTCTGATGGATGACTCTCCACAGGCAAAGGCAACCTAGATTCACCAGGATCAACAATCCAGTGAGGATCCATGGAATTACTATGAGCATTGCTACTACTTGTACTATGGTCACTGGAAGTCTGGAAAATGCTGTCAGGGCTTGGGCTTTTGAACTGATGGTCAACATGATAAGGGGTACGATAGGGTGAAGGAGGGTACGACTTGCCAAGGGCTTCATATAAGGACTTCTCAGCAGCTTTTAGAGCAAGCGGATCATGAAACATACTGGGCTTATCTTCAATATTCTCCTCCATAAGTATCTGGTTAAGGTACTTAAACAGAGAATCAGAGTCATGATCATCTGGAGAGTCCACTTCCGAGCTCACGTTTGATGACGGAGGGAAATTACCAATGTCTACACTTGGGGCAGTATACGGAACACCAAAAGCAACATAGTCATCATTATAACTGTGAGGAGGATTCAGAGACCCCTCATAGCTAGACAAATTGATCTGATCTTCGAACTCGAGAGTGTTTACAGGATCAGACAACGGAATGAATCGAGGATCCATAACAGTTTGTGTACAAACCAATCTACAATCAAAAAAGAAAGAAGGAAAACATCACACAAGGGGAGAAAAGGAATGAAACAGGCTTTGTTAGGTCAAAATAAACAATGAGAATATACAATTGAAAAACCAGCTAATGGTGGGAAAAAAAAACCAAAGATTACTGAAAAAAAATCAACTTTTTTTCCAACTTCATGCCTGGTTTAACATCTGAGCAGGCCCAACAACAAACAACCAAAAGGCAAAAAGTTACTATTTTTTTCCACAGACTATAAACATGAAGTAACTTTATACTCATATAGATACAAATTCTACAAACACAAATATCATCACTAATCTTAAAATCCATTAATGGCAATAGAAAGAAGCAATCAACTCAAAGGTGTACATAACCCACATAACAGAAAAGAACAAGAAAGATCAAATCTTTAGTTGCAAAACTTCAAGAAATGAAAGAAAACACAGGCACAAAACACCAAACTGCTACAAAACATCATGATTTCTTGTTTTTCTAAAAAAAAAAACAGGGGAAAAAAGCATAAGCCGTTCGTTGGAAAAATCAACTATAAAAAACATGAAATAAACGAAAACCCAATTCAGAAATGAAGAAAAATCTCAACTTGAAAAACAAAAATCAATATTT